AGCTCGGCCGGCCGGGCGGCGCACGCGACGGGAGGGAGGGGACGGCGTGCACGACGGGCAGAGCGAGCACCACCAGCACCAGCGATGGCACGTGAGCACCACCACCACCGGTGCCACCAGCACTAGCCTTGGCTCGGCCGGGCTAGTGGAGCACGTCGTGGCGGTGCGGTCACAACAGCGTGGTCGTGGTGGAGCACTCCTCAGTGGTGCAGGCGCAGCGGCGATTCTAAAAGGTCCTAATGGCTAGAGGGAGGTGAATAGCCTATAAAAATTTTTACAATAACACTTAGCAAACCGGTTAGACAAATATGAGGCGAAGCGAGTGTTGCGCTGGCCTACTAAAAATGCAAGCCATCTACCATAATTCTAATTTATATAGTCTCTATCCACACAATGGCTATGTCACTACACTAAGTTAGTGTGCTCTCAAAGACTAACTAAAGAGCCAAATTAACCAAACTAATAAGCACTCACGACTAACTACACTAAAGAGCTTGACAACTAGTTTGCGATAATGTAAAGAGAGAGAGCAAGATTGTTATACCGTTGAGTCAAGGAATAAACCAATCAATCACAAGAATGAATACCAATAAAGACCAATCACCTAGGAATCAAATGATGACACAATGATTTTTTATCGAGGTTCACGTGCTTGCTGGCAAGCTAGTCCTCGTTGTGACAATTCACTCACTTGGAGGTTCACGCGCTAATTAGCATCACACGCCAAACCCTCAATAGGGTGCCGCACAACCAACACAATATGAGGATCACACAAGCCATGAGCAATTTACTAGAGTATCTTTTGGCTCTCCGCCGGGGAAAGGTCAAGAACCCCTCATAATCACCATGATCGGAGCCGAAGACAATCACCAACCTCCGCTCGACGATCCTCGCTGCTCCAAGCCATCTAGGTGGGGGCAACCACCAAGAGTAACAAACGAATCCCACAGCGAAACACGAACACCAAGTGCCTCTAGATGCAAACACTCAAGCAATGCACTTGGATTCACTCCTAATCTCACAAAGATGATGAATCAATAATGGAGATGAGTGGGAGGGCTTTGGCTAAGCTCACAAGGTTGCTATGTCAATGCAAATGGCCAAAGAGTGTGATCTAGAGCCGACAATGGGCTTAAATAGAGAGCCCCCTCGAATAGAGCCGTTGGCTCCTCTGTTCACTGAAAAATCGGGGTGACCGGACGCACCGGTCGGTTTGACCGGACGTAGGACCCAGCGTCCGGTCCTCAGATTTTCGCCATGTGTCTCCTACTTCAAATGCTGATCGCTCGATCTCAACGGTCATCAGTACACTTAAGTTGTGACCGGACGCTCTACAGTGTAGGACCGGACACGGGACCCCAGCGTCCGGTCACTTCCAGTAAGGTTCCAGTCACGACCAGACGCGTCCGATTATAAGCGACCGAACGCAGACCAGCCAGAGTCCGGTCGTTTCCAGAGAGTGTAGGGGACCATGACGCCTAAGGGGGGGTGAATTAGGCAACTTAAAAATCTAACTCTAAACTATGGCCTCTTTTTCTAACCCTAGCAAACCTATGCAAAAGATAAACTATCTAAATGTGCAACTTCGGTTTTGCTAGTGTATTGCTATCTCTACCGCAAAAGAAGTAATGTAATCAATATAAATGTGGAAGCTAAAGAGCAAGGTAGAGATATGCAAACTCCCGTCGACGACTCTGGTATTTTTACCGAGGTATCGAGAAGCGCGCAAGCTTCCCCCTAGTCCTCGTTGGAGCCCCTCGCAAGGAATCCCTCACAAGGGCCAAGCTCCTGGTCAGGTAACTCTGTGGATAGCCTCGGGCCTTCCCCACACGCAAGTGGGTCTCCGCGTGCCTTCTAGCAAGCCTCTTCCAAATGCTCCCCGCCGTCTTCACTATCAAGCTTCCGGCCGAAACGCCGCGGGCCTTGTTTTCTCCGGTACACTGTGGCGGCCACACCACAAATGCGGTTGGTGTGATCTCGCAAGACTACAAACCCCTCCAATGTACAACAATATTACGCGCAAGCACCGAGTGGTAAGAGGTATGCAAACCTCACTAAACACTAGGCCTAAACCTAGAGCAAGGGCATAAGCGGTGGTCTAATCAACCTAAGCACTTCGCAAAGTACCTACTTTAATCACCTAATGAATCACTAAGCACTATGCAAGTGGAGATCACTAAAATGGTGTATCAACACCCTTGATATGTTTTCTCAACTCCACACTACTTAAATGGCCGGTTGGGGGGGTCTATTTATAAGCCCCACTGAGAAAGTAGCTGTTGGGGACGAAATTCCGCTTTTTAGCTACTGATCGGACACTGATCACGTCCCGACCGGATGCGTCCGGTCGTCCCGACCGTTAGAGCAGCGATCAACTGATCGGACGCTGCCAGATCCGGTCACATGCCACCGGACGTGTCCGGTCACAGTTTCGCCACTCTAGAACCTCTCTGTACTCGACAGGACTCTATTGCCCTGCGTCCGATCGATTTGCTTGTTCAGCGTCGGTCGTTGCTGCTGCCGAGCCTCTGATCGGAGCGTCCGTTCACTGTGCTACTAGCGTCCGGTCATCTCTGTGAGCTTGTTTCTTCGTGATCTTGTGTCCGGTCTGGTTTCTATCTTCGTGCTTGGACTTTGTTTGATATCTTGAGTCTTCTCTTGTGCTTCTAAGGTCTTGCTTATGGTGTTGATCATCGGATCATCACATCGTCTTCGTCCAAGTCACGTCTTGCACCCTATTGAACTACAAAACAATCACTTGCAAATTCATTAGTCCAATTTGGTTGTGTTGGTTATCAAACACCAAAATCCAAAGTAAATGGGCCTAGGGTCTATTTTCCTTACAGAGAGCTCCCCGAACCTCTGTTTTGCGACCGGACGCGTCCGCTCCTGCACGACCGGACGCAGCACCTGAGTCTGGTCATTCTCCAACTGCCACGCGTCACAACTGTTCTTCATGCTACCACGTCAACGTACGTCAGCACTGACCGGACCCTAGCCCTGAGCATCCGGTCACTCTTCGCGCCAGCGTCCTATCACGAGACCGAGACCGCGCGCTCACTGCTGCTACTGACCGGACGCAAGGTCAGAGTTCGGTCACAGTGTGACAAGCGTCCGGTGCACTCTGTGAAACCCTGTCTTTTCTGTACAGGGCGTCGGTGGCACCGTCGGACTGTCCGCACTCTACGGGCGGACACTCCGCCGGTAAAGTTTCGAACCCTTGCTCCCAAGTGCTAAACACAATGTGTATCATCTTTGTACATGTTTGTTAGCATATTTTCACAAATATTTTTAAGGTTGTTAGCACTCCACTAGATCCTAAATGCATATGCAATGAGTTAGAGCATCTAGTGGTACTTTGATAACCGTATTTCGATACGAGTTTCACCTCTCTTAATAGTACGGCTATCGAACCTAAATATGATCACACTCGCTAAGCGAAATGGCTCATATCACTTATACATTTGCCTTGAGCCTTTTGTTTCTACCTTTCTTCTTTTCAAGTCCAAGCACTTGATCATCACCATCATCATGTCATGATCTTCATTTGCTCCACCACTTGAAATGTGCCACCTATCTCATAATCACTTTCATAAACTAGGTTAGCACTTAGGGTTTCATCAATTCACCAAAATCAAACTAGAGCTTTCAATTTCTAGAGTTGGTTCGAGAATAGGTGCGGGCACGATGGCTGTTTCGAGAAGAAAGTGAGAGCGAGAGATTTTTTTAGCAACCTGAGATGGGTACGGCGTGCGAATGACACTGTTGGGCCGTTCGGGCGGACATCGAGACCCACCAACGCAAGCGTACAAACGAACGGACGCCTTACCCATAGCATTTCCGAAAATTAAGTGGTTGATTAATGTCCACGGATGGCTAACAGCTGGAGAAGTCCGGATCCCGAAAGGGTTGGAGTTTCCAAATTAGCTCTAATAGGGTTGAGCTCCAGTGTGCCTTCCATGATCTCAGTGACATTGTTGCACGCTTAAAATAGGTGCCCAATCTAATATGTATATTTGGGAGTTCTGGACCGGTGAGGTGAGTGACGAAGATGCAAGTCTAGCTACCGTACCAACTCAGATGCCAATCTTCGCAATATCATGTGTGAGGATATGCTGAAGAGCACGCGTTACACGCCTTACACACGCGCACGGACAGATGCGCAATTAAAACACACGAGAAAAAAAAAAATAAAGAAAGTTTTTATTAAAATCTCAGAGGTGATAAGATACAAGAACTCGAGAGTACACTTCCGACATGACGGTGTACATTGTGCACAACCAATAATAAAAAAGAATACACCCACACATTGTAATGAGTAATGACCATTGATGAGATTCATGCATGCTCGTAGAGGAATGATCCATCTGCTTGACAAAAGGCAATGACGTGCTCGCATGAGAAATCATGGACCTTTGTAGATTCTCCCGCAGCCTTCAAGGCGTCAGGGCACTTTCATAGAAGTGCACTTCATTTTTCTTAGGCATCGAGTCTCTGGTTGAAGAAAGAGAGATATCCACCGAACCCAAAGTGCCCGTGGTTTTTTTTTGTTAGCACTAAATTCTTGTCAGACCATTTGCATAAACTATTTCACCCGATTCCTCATTAGCGCTAAACACGTAAAAAAGGCAGCATCATTATACTGACCAGGACCAATTCCTACCCACAGACCTCTGTAAAGTCACTTTCACCAACCATTCTCTGCTCATGTTCAATTTCAGAATTTTAACCCACTTCGACGAGTTGCTTAGGACGCAAGTTTCAGTTCTTGCTTTTTAAAAGCAGGGTTTACCTCCGTAGAAAAAGAAGTTTCAGTCTAATAACCCGCGTTTCGCAAATTACTGTTAGTTACTTGGAGGCCGCGGAACGCTTTGCAGACCAGAACCAGACTGCGTCAACACACCGAACATATATATGTGTTAATGTTAAAGCACACAAGCTGCCGGCCGGCACGCCGGAGCCAGACACTACCGTACCGCCGAACAAGTAGCAACCGTGCCATGGCGACCGGGAGGCGTCGTCGTCGGACTCGGAGCAGGGGCAACAAGCCCAAGAGGACCAAGAGCGTGTCGAAAAAAGACGTTCCCCCGGCAGCAGGGCCGACGAGCGCGAACGACGTTCCCGACCACGTCCTGGAGCTCATCCTCCTCCACCTCGAGTCCTCGGCGTGTCTCCTGCGCGCCGCGGCGGCGTGCAAGCGATGGCGCCGGATCGCGGTGGCCGCCGGGTTCCTTCCCCGCTACCGCTCCCTCCACGCGCACGCGCCTTTCGTCGCGGGCCACTACCACGCCTTCGACCCGGACTGGGTCGACTACGAGTCCCCGCCGATCACGGAGAACCCCGTGTTCGTTCCCTCTCCGTCGCTTACCGTGGACGGCCGCCACTTCTCGCTCGACGACTTCCTCCCGGACAGCGACAGCGGCTGGGCGCTCGCCGGCAGCCGTGGCGGCCTCCTGCTCCTCTTCAGGAGGAGGACCGGCTGGGACGCGCACAGGCGGAGCCGCAGCTTCCCTGACCTCCTCGTGTGCGAGCCACTCACGCGGCGGTGCCAGGGGATCCTTCGCCCGCCGGAACACGCGACGTGCCTCGGTGTGTTCCTTCTCGACGGCGACGACGGGTCCGGCGGCCGCGTCGTCGGCATGTCCATGTCCAGTTTCAGGGTCGTCTCCGTGCTGCACGAAGACCACGCGTCGGAGGAGGGCCGCGGCATGCCGGTCGCCTGCGTGTTCACGTCGGGGAGCGACGGCGGCTGGCGCGTCCTCCTGCCAGCATGCGCCTCGACCAACAGCAACAGCGCGCCGTCAGCCTTCCGGGAGCGATCGACTGCGTAAGCTTCGCTGGGCGCGTGAACGGTTCGCTCTACTGGGCGACCGGAGACGAAGACGGCGCCATGCTGGTTCTCGACGAGGCCACCATGGAGTTCTCGCGCGTCCCGTTCCTGACCGACAACAACGACAATACTGGCGGTCCGTACGACAGGTGGAGCTTCCGAGTCATTGGTGGCAAGGACAGCCACGCACCGCGTGTCGTCCGCCTGGTAAGCAACGAGCTCATGGTCCTCGTGGAGCACCAGCAGGGCCAGGGCGGCGATAAGTGGTGGGTGGTCGAGAAGCTCGTGCGGCTGCCGGAGGCCACCCTCGGGCTGGAGGGGCGCAAGCAGAGGTTCTTCCAGCGCAACGCTATGATCGTCGCGGCGCATGAGACATATGTTCTCGTGACGCCGCGTGAGAAGACATGGCTGTTCTCCGTGGAGCTCGAGACGTTGCACGTGGAGCGTGAGCACCAAAGGAACAAATATGCCGGAATGGCGCACCCGTTTCAGCTGCCTTTGCCGCCAAGCTTGATGGCATGTGCTCAGCACGGTAGGCGCAGACAATCGTAACACTGATGGTTGTATATGTTGCCGTGCTAGACTAACGTTGTTAATAAGCGCACCATGTTAAATAAACTTTGTTTGTTGTTATTAATAAGCTCGTAGAGTGTCCACCGGCATGCAAAACTCGTATCCAGGGGCGGAGGCAGAAAGTTGATTTTTTTGAATGTTAGGGAGCAAACAGTGTTGAATTTTTAAAATTTATTTGAATTTTAAAATTTTTAGTGGAAGATCACATTCAACAGTGTCCACCGGCATGCAAGACTCATATCCCTGTTCATCGACGGTGGACCAATCCCAGTCGTTCTGCCCTTCGCTCCTGCGCACGCCTCCATCAAATGCCAGCCGCGCAACAGGTTTCTAGAACCACCGATACGGCGCTCCTCCCCAGACTGGGTCACACACGGCGTCGTCGTTATCCATCATGTCCTCCCTCTCCCTCCGATAGGAATCGAAAGACGAAAACAAACCCCACCTCATGCGCCCATCTCAGCCCAAAAACACATATTCCCCTTCGCCGCCGTCTCTGTCCCCGTAGTGGTGTGCGCTGATGCGCCCTACCCGACGCCATCCTCCTCTCTCTCCTTGCCAACGCGGTGCCCAGGTGTCATCCTAAAATTTGTACTTTTGAAAATATGATTAAAATGATTTATTTATGAATTTTTGTGCACATGAAATATAGGAAAAAAAATATTTTTCATTTTATTAAAATTCATCATAAGGAGTAGCAATATGAATGTGCATACATGCAGGTGCATTTGATTTATTTCAATGAGTGGTTGAATCCAAAATTCAAAATGAATTCAAAATGCTTTTGAAAATGAAATTAAAAATGGCTTTGAAGTAAAAGAAAAAGAAAAAGAGAATTGGAAAATAAAAGAGTTTAAAAGGGTTGTAAAATTTATATTTGGAAGCCTACCAAAATTGCCCATTTTTATTTGAGTTGAAAAGTATATTTGAAACTCTATTTGAATTTGCATTTGGTTCATAATTAAAATTGGTTTTGAAAACAAAATAGAAAAAGGATTTGGGAAATGAATAATTCTCTTTCGTCTCAATCTGGCCCGAAGGCCCACTCACTCTCTCCCTCCCTGTTTCAGCCCGCAACCTGCTTCCCCTCTCTACGGCCCAGCTCAGCTCGGCCAGCTCTCCACTCCCTTTCCCTCTCCCGCGTGGGCCAGCAAACTCCGCAGCCCACTCTCCCTCTCTCCCCGCTGGCATGCCCAACCCCGTGGCCCAGCAGACACCGCACGCGCCGTGCTGCCCTCTTTCCCTCTCTGGCTAACTCCCAGGCCCGCTCCCTCTCACGCTGATAGGTGGGCCCTCCTTGTCAGTCGTGTCTCATACCTCTCGTCCTCGCGCCGGACTCGGACACTGCCGCCGAGAGTCCGCAGCTGACCTGTCCTCGCCGATTTGCGTGCGCTCCAAGCCGCTCCGCCCCTATAAAATCTGAGCACCGTGCCACACCGCCACCATCCAGCCCTATCGCGAGCCGCCGCCTCCACCCGAGCTCGTAGTGCCGCCGTCGAGATCTCGCCGTGAAGAAGCTCTATGCCGCCGTGACGATTAGCTGCTCCTCCATGCCCGTAATTGCCTCCCCGAGCTTCGTGTCGTGTTCTCGAGCACGCCAAGCCCCTTATCTCTCTCTGTCTCGCTCTGTGTTGCCTTACCCCACGTCGTCGTCGCTCCGTCACCGCCATTGCTCGCTGCTAGCCGCCTCTGCCCACGCTTAGCCGCTGTGATTCACCGAGTTGAGTTCGTCGTTTCCGTCTCTAGCTCCCAGTGCCAATCCCGAGCTTGATTAAGGTCCCTAGAACTTTTCCCCAATTTCTCCTGCGACAAATTGCCATCGTCGGCGAATACGCCGCCGACCTACTACTGTTCCGGCTCGGCAGTACTCCCCCTCCCCTTCTCTGTCTAATCCAAACCATCCAATTCAGATCCAACGGCCACCAAAAGCCCATACTCCTTCGCCTATCCCCTTTTGCAAAAGAGCCCCTCCCCTTCATTGAAATCAACCTGCAGTCCAACTGTGTTCAACAGTATTTCAAAAAAGGTCCCTCTTTCTTCTGTTTTCACCCCTGCCTTTTCTTTAAATAGTACCCGCAGTCCTTTGTCAGTTTAAAATCATATTTTATTTATTTTAAATTCGAAAATCAAGTTCCATCTATTTACAAAATTGTCACTATTTTCATTAGGCCATATCTTCTCCGTTTTTACTCTGATTTGACCCGTTCAAGTTGCGTTAGATTCGTAACGACATAATCTACGCATTAGTATCGATGTTTTCCATGTCAAGAGCTCTAGAATTTTATGGTTTAATGTTTAACTTGAATAATGATTATGCAATTGGATTTTTCTAATTAAAAGTAACTTAGGCTTTTCACCTTGGTCAATTACATGATTAGTTTTACCTTGTTTTTCTAAATCAAGTATAATTTGACTTAACTCAATTAAGGTATTTCTCTGAAATATCTTATACATGTTTTATATAGCTAAAATAAATAAAGCCTATAGTTTCTTTTCGAAGCAAATATATCGGTAGTTGTACCTTGTTCACTGTAGCTCAGATTAGCGTGCTTTTCGCGTCTGTGTGATCGTAGCAACGCGTAGATTTGATTTCAAATTCTTTTTCATTGATTGATGTATTGTTCTAATATAGTTATGTTTGAATGCTATGCATATTTGTTCGGATGCTTGTGTGGTGCTTAATGATCTTGTCCAGTCGGTGAGTTTTATGTGGTGATCAAGAAGCAATTCTTTGGAGGCTACGAATCAATAGAAGAAGGATCTAAGTTTAAGGCAAGTATAGCATGAGACCATCCTTGTTACCTATTCACCTTTAATCACTTAATTTATATTACATGTGTCTACCTTGTTGCCAATAAGGATATCCTAGATATTTGATATCTTGTACCTTGACACCATGGGTGATATTATGCATTTGGTAGTATGATGCTAGTGCTCAATTAAAGATCATAATCGTGTAACTTGACTAATGGTATATGCAATAAACACTAAAATATGCTTTTTAGCAACATAGAACAAGGGGGCTAGAGCATTGGGCTATTTTATGGTACTCTAGATTCCTCTCTCTAAGGACTTATCTGTAAGTGATCATCCGAGACTTAAAGTACAGCTGTGAGGGCTACATGGCTCTGGCTTTAACTCAGTATGAGGATCTTTTTCTAGCTTGTTAGTGGTTACCTTTATTAGTGTAAGAATGGCTTGACGAATCGGGTATAGTGCGGCCTCTGTTCCCTTGTGTATAGGCTACGCGTCATTGTGCCATCGGGAAGGGAGCTCTACATCTGTTTGTCGAGTGAATCTAATGGCCCTAACTTGTTAGATGAACCTTTGAAAGGCTTCATAGTGAACCCTGCCTGCTCATCTTGGAAGTATTTTGGGAGTAATTAACCCGGGTATATTGGTATCACGACTCACAGTGAAAGTTTATCAAAATGCTCCAAGCATTTCACACATTTTGTTTGCCGATGACTCATTAATCTTGATTCGAGCAATAGAGGGGGATTGTAGGCATTTGCAGGCTATTCTTTAGTTGTGTGAAAGTTGTTCTAGTCAAGCCATAAACAAAGCCAAGTCATCTATATTGTTTAGTTGAAACACTGGGGCACAACAGAAGACAGTGGTATGTGATGTTATTCAGGTAACCAAGGAAACTATGAGTGAGAAGTATCTTGGCCTACCGATTCATGTGGGCAAGTCCAAAACTGGTTCTTTTGCATATCTGAAGGATAGAATCTGGAAAAGAATACAAGGATGGAATGAGAAATTCTTGTCATGGGCTGGTAAAGAGATTATGATTAAAGCTGTGGCTTAGGCCATACCCACCTTTGCCATGGGGTGTTTTGACCTCTCCAAAACAATCTATGATCAGATAAGTGCTATGATCTATAGATTTTGGTGGAACCACCAGGAGGGTAAACATAAATTCACTGGCTAAATAGGGACCGATTGATGAAACCAAAAGGATAAGGCGGCTTAGGCTTTAGGGACATCCACATTTTCAATTTGGCCATGCTTGCCAAGCAAGGATGGAGGTTGTAGCAGCAGCCTGGCTCGCTCTGTGCACAGGTGTTGACAGCGAAATATTTTGCTTCTTGTTCAGTCCTGGAAGCGAAACCAAAGGCGGGGATGTCCTACACTTGGCGCAAGCTCCAAGGCATTGAACTTATAAAGAAGGAAATGATTTGGAGGATTGGGTACGGAGTGGATCTGAACATTTGGTCTGATCCATGGTTACCTAGAGAATTTTCTAGGCATCCAATTACACCGAGAGGAGCTGTGTTGTTAACTGAGGTGGCGAACTTGTTTGTAACACCCCAGTGTTAAGCATGGTATTTGGTACTTACATTTCATGAGTACAAGCATCATCCAAGCATTTATGAACATGAGCATATGAAATTTTATCTCATTCTTATACATTATCGCATGAAATGTTGATTATATATATATGCTTATGCTTGTAATCATGTATGACCAATGTATGAAATGGTTATAAGGTCACAACAATACCTTAGATACATCTAGGATGGTAAATGGAACAACTTTTGTATTCATGACATGAACCAATTTTGCTTCTAAGTGTTGGTTTACTTTGAAATGCCTTTTCATGATGCTAGTTTGACCAAAGTTGAATAGTAGCTTAGAATGTTTGCATGGTTGTGTGACCTCAATAAAAGTTGTAGTTCACATCAAGGGTAACAAACTTTATTTAAGGGTCATGAGCTAACTCAGTGCCTAACTTAGTCAAATATAGCTCACAAGTTTCAACTTAATGCTGTTTGTAACTTAGAAAAAAAATTCTAAGTGTGGAACTGGTTTTCAGTTTTAAAGTAGCCTACTTTGGAGCATTGTAGTTTGAAAACTAACTCGAATTAGACCATGCTTCTTAAAGCAAAGTTATAGTACTCACATAACTCTACAAATTCTATTAATGAAGTTTGCACCGATTCGCTGCGGATTAGGAGTTACAGGTGCGTGAAGTC